TNTATATATNTATATATATATATTATATATATATATATATATATATATATATATATATTTATACATATGTGTGTGTGTGTTTACCCTCGACACCGACTCCCTGAAAACCCTCGGATTTAACCCTCGAACACCGACCCTCCGGCTACGGCCGATGACATCGTGGCCCTTTAAGTACCTTCCACGCCGCCTTTCCCCCACGTCCTTCTCGCCACCGTTCGTGTTTTCCTCCGCGATTGGGCTGGGATCGGGAGACGGAACTTCTCGGCGAGTACGCAGGGAGAAACGGGATGGGCCCCGTTAGCCGGGGCCCCGTCGTGCACGTGCATCGCATCCAACATTGTTCCACCCGACTCGGTGGTATTGGTATATAAACACGGGAGACGGGAAACACAGTTTCGCGCAGGAGGAATCCGGTTTTTCAAGTAATCGAGGAGAGAAGCCGGGCTAGCAGGCGAGCGAGCGGGCAGGCGAGCAGACAGGCAGGCAGGCAGGCAGGCGGGCAGCCATCGAGGTAGCTCCCTGCGTCCAGTCTGGAAACGACCGAGGGAAGAGAGAGAGAGAGAGAGAGAGAGAGAGCGAGTGGATGCCATCGCTATGTATATCGCCTTCTTCTCCTCCTCCTCCTCCTCGCTCCTCCTCTTCTTTCTCCCGCTTCTGCTCTTCTTTCCTCGCTTTCCTCTTTCACCACACCCATTCTTCTTAATCGAGCTCGCCTCCCGTATTGAGACGTAGCTGTCGTCGTCGTCGTCGTCGTCTCCTCCTCGAGACTGGCCGCGAGTCAGCCGCGTTTCGTTTCCTCCTTCGTTTCGATGATTTACATTCCAAGATTCGGGGGAAGGAAGGGGAAGCGATCCAAGATTCGGTCGAGATCGAGAAACGGAGCAGAGGGAGGAAAAGGAGGAGGAGGAGGAGGAAGAGGATCGCGTGGCAGGAAAGAGATGGAAGGAAGGATGGGGAGGGAGAGGGAGAAGAGAATATTGAGACGTGTAGCTACCTTACGGAAGGCGGGTGAAAAGGTATAAGATACGGTCGATCATTCTCGCGTAGTGACCGCGATAAGAGGAGGGTTTCCTGTGTTCGAAACCCCGACCCGGTTGCTTCGAACCCATACGGCTGGCCTAACC